TCAGATTTGACTAAAGACTTCTGATACGATGTTTCAACATAGACATTTTGCTACATGTTTCTATGATTCATAAAAACATGTAGCAATAAGCCAGAGATGTTAAAACAGATCCCGATCTGTGCAGAGCTGTCAAAACTGTGATAGGAGAGCAGTTCACACGGCTCTGTTATCACTGTCAGATACTCAATCGCTGACAGCGATCAGGTTTGTAAAAGCTTCATTCTTTCATTAATCGATGCCTCAAAACTGAGTCATCCATTAATAAACGGTAACCACCCAGAATGGTTCCAGGGGTTTTACTCCGACCCGTTCACTGTCCCAAACCCGAAGGCTGCCCTACGGTAGACCTCAAAGTCTTGAATGTCCTCATTCAGGTACTTAAATTCCGGATAGAATTGACCAGATCTGTCATTGCCCCCCTTAATCAGGGAGACTTTCTGACTTCTGTGAACTTAAAAGATGCATACTTGTATGTGCCTATGTTTTTCAGAGAACAAGTGCTATAGGGCCACTGCACTACCAGTTCTTGGCCCTACCATTCTGCATCTCCAGTGTTGGTTCTGTTGCCCTCACAGGATACTTAGACAGCCTCTTGTTGAGTAAACAGTTGGTGAGAGCTCTGTCAGACATCGTATCTCTAATTGTCCAGACTATACAGAGGTTCAGGTGGATCCTGAACATTCAAAAACCATCGCTGTAACAATCATTGCTTGAAGTATCTGGGTCTGGTTATGGACACGTCTTGGGCCAGTGTGTTCCTTTCCCAGGAAAAACCTCAGACTCTCTGATCTCAAGTTTGAACTCCTCAATCCAGAAGCTGTATGAGTCCCTGCTTTTGCAGTCTGGAGCTGATGGCTGCCTCCTTCAAGGTGCTTCCCTTTGCCCAATTTCACTCCAGACATCTAAAAGGCAATATTTTCTCATCATGGGACAAATCAGTCCTGTCTCTGGACTGGTAGATTAAGTTAACATTAAGAACCAGACCAGGAATCTGGGTCTGGAGTCAGGAAAGTTTTTTTTCTTGTAGTATATGGGCGATTTTCACAATGGACACCAACATAACAGACTGGGGAAGTGGGTGAGTTCTGGCTACCTTGCCAATGCAGGGAGACTTCGTTGGAGGAATCTAATTTGCTGATAAACATCTTGGAGCATTATGGTTAATTTTCTGTCCCTTTATCCTTGGACCAACCTATTGGAGGGCCACCCAATAGTCGGACAACCCCATGGTAGGAGACAAAAGTGTTTCTCTACCAAGAGAGGTAGAGTGGATCCTGGCCTGGGCCTTATCACTTATTTTCATTCTAAGCGTAGTTGATTGCCAGGCAGCTTTCCTCAGCCTGTAGCATCTGGACCTTACTGAGTGGTCTCTAAACCTGGAGGTATTCCAGGACCTGTGTTGCAGGTGAGAACTGCCAGATGTAAACCGTTTGGACATTTAACAACAAACTGGACAGGTTTGTATACAAGTGCAATGAATCAATTTCCCTTAACTGAAAAGACTCACTGTTAAGGTGAGTCCCTCCTTTGTTTTGTTTTTTTGCATCAGGCATCTGTTTCCCAGATTTGTAAGGCTGCAACCTGGTCTCCTCTTCATATGTTCTTTAAGTTCTAATGGGTGCCTTATCAGATCCCTCTTAGTGATTGCTGTGTTGTCCACCCCTTTTAGTTTGACTGCTTTTGGATGACCCAAAGGTTTGAGACTTCCTGTGTTCCTCAATAGGACCTGATTTTAAATTACTACAGTGTAGCTTTGACTGTGTGTTTAAGGTAATTGTCCTGCTGGAAATCAGGTCCTCGCCACCGTTTCAGGTCTTTGCTACCTCAAGCATATATTTTTCTTTAGAATTTGCCTGTTTTATGGATCCATCCTTCTTGTCTTCAAACTTGACCAGTTTTCAGTCTTTGCCAGAGAGTAGCATTATCACAGCATGATGCTACTACAACCATGCTTCACTCGGGGAATGGTGCTCTCATATTGAGGTGTTGTGTTGACTTTTTACTACACACAGCACTGTCAGAAAAGTTTTTAGATTTGATCTTACCAGGCTAGAAAACCTTACTCCACATGATTGATATGTCTCTCATGCATGTCTTTGGCAAACACCGAAGCAATTCATATTTTTTTTTTCTTTCTAAAAAGCCTAGCTTTGTGGATCATCCGAAATATAGTCATCCCATGGATGTTGCCTCCTTTTCTCAGCTTTAGATGTTTGCAACTCTTTCAAAGCCACCATCCCCTTTCATACTTTTTAGACAAATCAGCTCTTCACAGAGTTGGTTGGTGACCTTCATTAAAGAAGAACTCAGGGATTTAAATTATTCCTTGCATTGGGGCTTCCCCCGCAATGCAAGGATTAAGTGCTACTTTTGGTCTAGGAGGTAAAATGTATAAGATACACTCACCTGATCCTCGGTCTTGAATCGGTGACCACTCGCCTCTCTACCCCTCCACTCTGGCTGTGTTATGTCCCTCTGCATCCTCACAGCTAATCAACCAGTCTAGCAGCAAGGCAGGACTGAGGATCAGATGAGTATCTTCTTTATTTTTGTCTCTAGACCAAAATGAGCACTTAGCCCTTTGTAGTGTGAGTATAGCCCCACTGCAAGTGATGGTTTTAATAAATGCTGGCTGTGTTTTTACAAGACTTGTTTTTGGTCTTCATAATATGTGTTTAGAAATGTTCTCCTTTACAGCCTTCCAGAACTAGATGTATTTATTTTGTGCTCATGTTACACTGTAATTTACACAAGTGGGCTAAAATAAACGAACAATGTGACTTTGGAAGGCATTTATTAGCAATCAAGCTTAAAATATATATTTTTCACCACACTGCCTTTGTTTGACTTTCTGTGTGCTCCCATTTTTTTTGATAAGTTCCCCCCATCACACTTCCTGCCTATCAGCTTTCAACCTCTGTGTTAAAGAGCTAGAGCACCTGTTGCACGGCATTCAAGCAAACTGTCTACACACTAGCAGCCAGACCCCTTGTTTTCTGAAGTTTGTTGTCTGTACCTGAGGATTGCACTCTGCTGTTTTGAATCCTCAGTTCCCAGTCAGTGACACCCCCTTTGTATTTTATATGTATATAATCTGGGGAAATATGTTGGGTAACTAAGTCTTCCAATTTTTTTTTTATTCTGGGCAAATTCGTGCCATAAAAGCTCAATTCAACCCACTATTTTCTTCACTGTAATGCTTGAAAATGTGTAAAGTCCATGGGAGTTAAATATCTATGCAAAGCGTATCTATTGTTTGACACCAGGACCGAAGTCTGGCATATGGTACTTTCCTGACCATTCATATCTGCTGACACTGGGCAGACAGCATGATAACATACAGTGTAAGGCTAGAATGCCTGGGGCACTAGAAGATCCAAGATTAAAGGAGAACTGTGAGGTGAGTGAAAAGTTCGAGCCGACGAGCGTCAATGAAACTGTCACACGTCGGCTCAATAGATCGGGAAGAGAGCAAACACATACCATTGCTCGCTCACTTCTCGATCATCTTCCTGCAGAGAGCATCACGGTTTCCTGCAGGGATTCCCCCCCTTCCCGCTCTGATCCTCCAGCGCTGACTGGAGGAATGGACGGAGGAGGGTACAGCTGGCTCTGCTTCTAGATAGGCAGAGCCCGCTGTTACTCACGCAGCTGGGTGGATCTTGACAGTAATGGATCTCCGTATGCAGCGAGCTGTAGCTTGTGATATACTGAGCTTTGGGTCACGGGAGGAGGTTAGTATATCTCCTCCCGTGACCCTTAGGAGAACTATGGGGAAAAACACTTACCTTTTAAAGCCCCCCTTCATGCACCAGTGCAAAAAAATGGGTATGACCCACTGTAAGCAAGTGTGTTTAAATAAACTTGCTTTAACAAGGCTCCCTATTCTTAGTGAGTAAAGTCCAACAAGGGCAGTTTGGGGAAAAATCATTTTCCATCACATTTTTATTTCTTCAGAAGTATGATAGCTGGGCCTAATTTCAGCTCCATATTGCTGCTGCCATGTTGCAGAAGGCTGCAAGAATCTGCTACTTTTTTCAAACAGACCGCTGATATATTATAAGAGACTATCTAAGGCTGCCCTCATATTGCAAGAAACGATCTAAGCCTGCATTCACACATGTCATTGTTTTTGTGTGCGTTTTCGGCTAGCGTGTGTTGCATGTTTTTGCACATTTTTACACACGTTAGACAAGCGCACATAGAGATGCATGTCTTAGCCGGCAGATTGAAACACATTGTGATCAATGGCCAAATGCGCATAAAACACAGTCAGAAATGTGCAAACCACTTGTATCGTGCGATGTTCAGACACAAGTCTTTGGGGCCAAATGCACTGCAAACTGCCCCAAAGAAACTCAGGAACTTTTTTCCAGTGACGGGCGTTTTGTAGAAATATGTGGACTGCCACTGTTGATCTTCTGAAAATACTAGTTGTCTGGCTGTTGATATATTGGCGTTAATAATTTTACGAGTCCTTGACCTAGACAAATATGCCATTCAGGATTTATCTAAATTAGCAGGCTGTTTACTTGTTCTAGGTCAGTGATTCTGAAAGTATTAAAACCAAAGACAGACAATTAGTAATAACCTTGTGACAGATTTCCTGGAAAGTAGGAGTATTGCAAAAATATTGCTTTCTAATTGCTGAAATTGTATATACAAAATTGACATCTAAAATAAAAAAAAATATTTCTTGCCATAATGACATATATATTAAGTGCAAATATTTATTAGAATCCAGTATTGTTCATGATTTACTATCTTCTTCCTTCTGCCAAAACTAGAATCCACTGCCCCCAAACAGTACTAATCACAGTAAAAGTTTGCAAACGGTAACCAATCTGCTGTGGCTGTGTCTGTGATAACCATTGTAGGCTGATGGTTGGCGTTCATGTTTTCATGGCATCATTTCTTAGTAGCTCCACTCCATTAGCATTAATAACAATCCACTTCATGGCTTTATTATCTCAGAAATAATTTTCTTTCACATTTCCTAGGGCTTGAAAAACCAGTTAATGAAAAGATACAGACAAAAAGTAGTCAAGCAAAAGGAAAGGATCGCCTTACTGGCAGAGCTCAAAGGTAACTTTGTGTTCAGTACCTTCATAGTCCCGTTTCCACAAAATGACATTATGTGAATACTTCACAAGAACTATCAATAGCCTCTAGATAGGCAGAGCCAGCTGTCACTCACGCAGCTGGGTGGATCTCGACAGTAATGTTGGGATCAGTCCCGGCTGCGGCGTCTCAGTATACCGCGAGCTGCAGCTTGCGGTATACTGAGCTTTGGGTCACGGGAGGACACTAGTTTGTGTCCTCCCGTGACCCTTAGGAGAACTATGGGGGAAAACACTTACCCCATAGTTCTACTTTTAAATGTATGTTGCACATAGTAACAAATCCATTCCAGCTTTTTTCTTTTATTTTACAGGTATCTGTGATACTCTGCTTTGTAACTAATTTAATAATGTGACGTTTTTGTCATTTGCAGAAAATAAACATCTTTTGAAAGCAGTCACACACATTGTATCAGTTTAGTAGTGCAAAATTAAATTACAATGGCAAGCCCTTCTTATACTGTGCTGATAATTAACAATATGGTTCACAGTGTTGTCAAGCTAGCAACAAACCATCACGCAGTCTCAGTGGGACTCGGGTGCATTGCCTGGGGTGCAGGTGCACTGAACATAACAAACAAGTGCCATTTCCTAGAATAAGATACATTGTAAAAGTGTACACTGAACTTTTGTAGAGGAGAAATAAATACATCTAAAAATAAAAATCTATCTATCTATCTACAGTGCATTTCAAAGAACAGTTACTATGTGTAAAGTATGACTCATGGCAACCTATCATAGTCGTAGATAAAGATAAAAAAGGTGTTTCACTATGATATACTTTAACAATGCATTTTACTTGGTGCCTTGGTGAGTTTTATACAGTGCAGTATTTACTATTTTATCTGTTATTTTAATTAAAGAGAAGGAAAGTTAAACTCTGATTCCTATCTGTGCTTTTTCAATGGACTGTTGGCTGCAAGGATATTATCTGTATGACAAATGCTGACTTCAGGTCTCTGCTGTTCTTTTCCATTGTACTGCAGGTTTAAAGATGACACTATTTACGTCGACACAGTCCCAAGTGCATTCTGTGGCAAAAGAAATGAGCATCACATGAAACACCTAAAGAATCCATCAAGAAACTGAGCAACTAAGATCTTCCTCAACGAGTAAACAAATAAGAAATTGTGATGAGATTAGGAAACGTTTAAAAAAAATAAAATATTCCCAATTAAAGTGTCGTAACCATATCTTTCTTCCTACTGGCGATCTTTTGTTTTGAACAGTATAGTTCTTTTATGGATCGAATATTCCCCCCAGGTCTCGACAATCTCCTGCGCCAGCAGCCCTGCCGCCTCCGCTGTCACACCACACGCGTCCAGCGGCTCCCGCAGGGTGATGTGTGAGAGCTGAGGCAGTGGGGCTGACTGTGTACCAGCGTTATTTACCTCTTCCATATTGCCGCTGCCCGTGCTGCCGTTCTGTGTCTGACCGGCTTCTCACCTTCCTGTCTTATGCCACATGACAGGGAAAGGGAGGAGTCTGAAGAAGTTAGACACGGCAGTGGCATTGTGGAAGAGGTAAATAACGCTGGTACACTGTCAGTCCCACTGCCTCAGCTCTCACACACACAAACACTTCCCACTCATACTATGGTCAGGTGCGTCTTATGGAGCGAAAAATACGGTAACTAAATATGCATTTGTTTTGGGACTTCACACTATATGTCAAAGCTGTGTTAGTTTTGCTACAGTGGATAGATTGACATCCTGGACAAAACACTGCTTTGTGCTCGCAAGAGGCATGAAAAAGGCTAGTGATGTCAAAAATCCGTAAACAGGCGTGGGGGCCTTTAAAGGAGAACTATGGGGTAAGTGTTTGTTTTTCCCCATAGTTCTCCTAAGGGTAACGGGAGGACACAAACTAGCGTTCTCCCGTGATCCAAAGCTCTGTATAACGCAAGCTACAGCTCGCGGTATACTGAGACGCCGCAGCCGGGACGGATCCCGACCCAGCTGCGGGATCCACCCAGCTGCGGGATTGACAGCTGGCTCTCCCTATCCAGAGGCAGAGCAAGCTGTGCCCGCACCCTCCCCCGTCCGTTTCGCCAGTCGGCGCTGGAGGATCGGACAGGGGAGGGAGGGGAATCCCTGCAGGGAGCTGTGAGTGAAAGTCACGGCTCTCTGCAGGGATAGATCGAGAAGTGAGCGAGCGCCGGTATGTGTTCGCTTACTTCCCGATCTACTGAGCCGACCTGTGACCGTTTCATTGTCGTATGTCGGCTCATATTATGAGGCTGAGTTAAAATCACTCGCCTCATAATTATCCTTTAACACCAGCTGTCACCCACATATCTTTCATTTAGAAGAATTTGTATAGCACTGACTGTTTATGCAACGCTTTACATAGTGTACATTCACATCTGTACTGCCCTCAAGGAGGTTACAATGTAAGGTCCCTATCTCGCATGCACAAATACAAGGGCTGATTTAGGCAACCAATGAACCTACCAGCATGTCTGTGGAGTGTGGGAGGGAACCCACACAAGCACAGGAAGAACATGCAAACCTGGTATGGGCAGGACTTGATGCGGGAACCCCAGTGCTGCAGAAGTACTAAACCCTAAGCCACTGAGCAAAAAAAATAATCAGATGTGTTTTTAGTAGTTTGCCTGAAGTTCATTCCAGCCCTCTAAAGATCAAGATTTGATTTTTTTTGTATCATTTACTTTTTTAATGTATCTAGTTTAGTCTAAATATATAGATGTGAGAGAACTTTTCTTTAACTTTTGCCGACTTATGATCAGTTGGCTTACAAATAGGTTATACAAACTGCCATTGTATATTTTCTTCTCCCCTAGTCCTTTAACCTTTTAACATTCTCTAAAATCCTTGTTGTCAGTCTTTCTGTAGTGTTTCAATCTTTTCACAGTACATTGGATTGTGGCATGATAAGGATTCTAATTGTTTGTGGGTTCTGCTTCCATTAACTTAGTGGTCAGGATTCTCGAGGAACAAACATGATGGGTCAATGAATAACTCGTAATGTATTTAATGGCTTCAGCCTGCAATATGTGGTTACATTTAGAGATTTAGGGCTGACATTCCTTTTCTTTTTTCTATCGGTTCTTTATTCCTTTCTTCACATATAAGGGAAGGATTGCTTCTTTCAAGAGTTATCTCAGCTTTAAAAATTTTTTTATTTTTATGCTTCCTTAAACATTCACAGACCGCAGGAAGCCAAAAATGGGCACTTGCAGATAGTTTGCAAGTGTCACCGAGTGATACAGTATGTCACATTGTACTATTTAACCCCTTTATGACAGGACTTTTTTTTCTCATTCTTTGCAATGCAATCTGCATCGCTCCTGGTCCCATAGAACGGGGAGGGGATCGACAAACAGAGGCTCGTCCATCTCCTCCCCACCGACACCAGAGAAGCCGGTCCCGGGCACGTAGGAAAGGCAACGAAGCACGGCAGGGGGCACCTTCACCAGGCCGTAGAATCGATGTGGCGACAGCTGAGTCACCAGAATTGCTTATATTTTAAAGCCGGTCCAGTCGGATTTACAAGTGTAAACAGATTTGCCGCCGGGAGTCTGTGTAAACAGCCCCGATGCCAGCGACATACACTGTACGTCGTTGCTCGTGAAAGGGTTAAAATGTATTTCTATTTAAGCCCTTAATAACCTAGTTATTAATATCCCTAAATAACTATTTCCTTCCTTTCTCTCTTCAGCTTTTATTTTCCTGCTGTTTTTTTCCCCATTAATATTTAAAATGTATGTATGTATGTATGTATGAAAACCTTTTTTTCAACTTTGGATAGAGTATGGAAGGGCTAAAAATGTCATTTCCTTTTACATTCTGTTCCAGAGGTATAACAAGAAGTTAAAGGAAATTTCTTAAAGTAAGGCAAATTCCTTTCTTAAGCTGTGTGTGTGTGTATATATATATATGTGTGTGTATATATATATATATATTTATTTATTTTTTTCTTTGTTGAACCTGCAAGCTGAACAAAGAAAATATAACAGAGTCCTCTATCAACACTTACGAGCGCGGATGGAGACATCCCTCATTGTTTTAAATGTATTCTGCAGCCTGCCGCTATCAGAATACCCGAATGGTGTTTCAGCTGTAAGCTCGTTCAGCCGAGAGTTTTCCAACCTGGTCCTTCGATCAGCTGATCGAGGGATGCAGGACGGAAGGGTGCCGACAGGGACACCCACTGTGCGAATTACGGCCATTTCATCAGAAACCGGCAGAGATTCGATATGTATATACCCTACTTTAGACAGTTGTCCTTGTAACAAATGTCGCCATTAGGGGGGTTTCCCTTACCTCTTGTTTTAGGAACAACTAAAAAATTTTAGATTTCCCCTCACTTTCTCTTTTAGGGATAACGGTAATCAGTACACATAGAGGGGTGAATCTCCACAATTAGGATACAGGCAGCAATAAAAACTTGAGAGAAGCTCGAACTCCTTTCCACTCAATCCAAAACTAAAAGAAAAAAGGTTTGCCTAGAAATATACTTTAAACTTCTTTTTTTTTAGCTTTCATTTGTTTTGTTCTTTCATTTTTTATGGGGTATAACAAAAAAAGAACAAAATTAAAGTAACACCCTTTGTTTAATTTGTACAAAACCATATAAAAAATATATATATATATTTTAGTGTCTTTTTAAAGGGGACAAATTATATATTTTTAAAGTGCACTTTTTATTACAGTAACATTAGTGATGGTTAAACTAACAATGGATGAAATAGAAAGAATTTTTGCCTATAAATTACATATTGCCAAAAGAAAGCATAGTTTGTACTAGGGATGTACCGATGCCTGTTTTTCGGTACTCGTCGATGCCGAAAGTCCCATAAAGGAAGCTGGGCGCCGTGTAATGACTCGCCGCCCGGCTTCCCAATTAGCCATGTTCTCCTGTCACCAGGTGATGAGGGAGCATGGAGTCGGCTTTCTTGCCAATCAGGAAGTTGGGGGGTGGGTAATGACTCGCTGCCCGGGTTCTTAATTGTACAGCTTCCCAACCAATGAGGAAGCTGGACGGCGAGTCATTACACGGCTCCCGGCTTCCTGATGAACCAGGAAGTCAGCTCTATACTCCCTTGTCACCAAGTGATTGGCCGGGAAGCCAGCTCCATGCTCCCTGGTGACGAGGGAGCATGGAGCCAGCTTCCTGGGCAGCGTGTAATGACTCGACGCCTAGCTTCCTGATACCAGAAGTTTTGGTATAGGGAGCATTTGGGCTAGTACTAGTATCGGTGCATCCCTTGTTTGTACCCACACTATATGTATATACAGTATAACTTTATCTTAAGCTAACCCAATGGAAACAGACAGAAAAAGAAACTGACAATAACGCTTCCCTACTCGAATCAAAACTGTAAAAAAAAAGGGTTTAGATACACTTACATGTTTTTATTGCTTGCTTGGAATAACAAAATACATTTTTCTTTGGTCTTCAAGTAGAACAAAATATAACGTGTGTGTATAGCCAAAACTTCTTCTCCTGACAGCTCCATGTCAGCACCTTGTGTGCTGCCATGGAGCTGTCAGGAAAGGAAAATTGCGGTAAGTATGGCAATACAATTTTCCTGTTTTTAAGTTTTGGATAGAGAGGGGAAGAATTAGGACCCCTCATGGGTTTCTACTGATATCCAGGGCCTGTTAGTCACGTACCATCCCCATTACATCAGTTTGACCAGATATTGAGTGAAGAAAGCCTCCAACAGCAATACAGACAGAAATATTAATGCCTTTTTTTTTATTGTAAAGTAGCAGAACAACACACCCATCTGCTTTTTATTGTTGATTTGTCTGGTGAAACCTTAGCCATCATAGCTACACAGAAGCAAACACAAAAAGCTACCAAGTCTCTTTCTTCCTGCTGCATTCTCCATAATGTAAAACACGCCAACTCATGATGTGACAACACCGAGATCTTGTTCTGCTGTGGCCTTCTCTACCAAAGTTATTGAGGTAACCGTTTCCCAGCTGCGCTTATGCAATCTTCTGTGGAAAAATACACGTAGCCTTGTTCTTTGGAACTGGCAGGGCTGTGAATCCCTTGATAGATTAAGTCAGCGGAGAGCTTCAGTGACTCATCCTGGAGGTGGCCGGAAATATTGT